TTTTTGAAACTAAAAAAATTGAGCAACAATTAATTGTTATTGATTATTATTTCTTTATTTTGTCTGTGATTCAGATAATGAATATAAATTATATCTTGAACCTCTAAAATCTTCTGGCAGTGATTAATTTTGTTAAATCTCCAAAGGGCAGAAATGCATTGAATAATTAAAAAGGATAAATAAAAATAAATAAATTTAATAAAAAGGCATGTGTCTTGCCTTGAAGATGATACAAGTGCCTACATCATATATATTTTGGTTTTATATTTCAAACTATAATATATTTTGGTTTTATATTTCAATGGTTGTGGAATAAAAATGTTTCTCAATAGTCAATACTTTCCAAGAAAAATACTTATCATGTCTCAAATTCTCCATAGAAAATATATTCCAAGAAAATACTTATCATACAAAGACAGGCCTGTGACTGTGACATCCACCAGAATTGTGGATTCAATTTTAAGTCGCTGATACATATAATTTAATTTTTATAATTATTTTTGTACTAATAAAATGAAAGCTTGGATGGGTATTTAAAAATATTAATGGTATCTAATATTTTTACTCAAAAAAACATTTTATAATAATAACATGGGAATAATGGATGGAGCTTTTAATTTTTTCTCCCTTTCTATGAAATGTGAATCTCACCTTCTTGTGAATCTCACCTTCTTAAGTTTATTATATAAAGGGAGAAAAAATTAAAAGCTCCATCCATTATTCCCATGTTATTATTAAAAAAAAAATCCCCTTCATATTGATTGTTTGAATTAATTTCATGTCTTCGACAAAAATAAAAAATAAAAAAGAATTAATTTCATGTCTCTCTCAATTTTTTTTTTTTTTTTTTTCAACTAAACACACTAGTAAGTTATAGCAAGTGTGGTAATTTTTCTAAATCTATACATCTTGATAACTTAATTCAGTGCCTAATTTTGAATCGATTAAACATCTATCAAATAAAGTGCACTTAATAAACTAGTATGAATATTATTAAAAATTATAAGTACAACTTAAAATAAAATAAAATTTTAAATAATAAAAATATTATTTATAATTGAATTCTCAACGTTAAAAGTTTAAAATATATACTTGCATCCCCACTTCGCCTTTCTTCAAAGGACAGCAAGGGTCCAAAAGACAGACCACACATTGTGCAAAATACAAAAAAACTCAAGTAAGACTACACCACCTATCTAAGAACTGCACATAAAAAGAGGTCATGCTATTAGAGATACTCCTCTTAAGCTTCAATCGTTAACCCGATCCCCGGCTGATTCACTGCCATATTTGCATAAATAAATTTTCAATTATAGTAACAATTTACGTGTATATAATTAATATAATAAAATAATAATATGTGTGTGTATTATTTCACTCTCTTATTCTTCTTTATTTCTTATACCAATTTTACAAAATAAATATATAATAAAATAAAATAATCACGAGGGCCTCAGTCAGACATGTTCAATGTGAAAGGTGGAAGGTGATGATATAGTTATCGACAAATGAGGGGTTTGAGCTTCTGCCAATGACGAAGGTTTAGGTCGAGTTTATCGAATTGTACGTGTAAAATAAGTTGTCCAAAGTTTACGTGTTATTTTATCCATTGACGTGTAAATAGACCTAGATATTTTTGTTTTTGGGTAAACTTATATAGTTGGTTTATTTTTGTAATTTTAGTGGGGCCATCTTCATAAATTTTCAAAATTTTGAAGTATAAAATTTAAAAAAAAAAAAAAAAATTCAATGGGGTGAATTGTAATTTTAGTGGGAGTATCTTCATAAATTCTCAAATTTTGAAGTATAAAATGAAAAAAATTAAAAAATTAAAAAAATAAAAATCCAAGGGGAAATTGTAATTTTAGGGGACGGACATCTTCATAAATTTTTAAAAATTTGGATATAAAATGCAAAAATAAAAATTTCAATTGGGGCATCTGCCCGATTGGGTTTGCATGTAAATTATTTTTGTTAGATTTCAATAAGATATTTTACTTAATTTTTTTATAATTAAACACTAAAAACTAAAAAATAAATATTTTTTAAAAAAAATATTTACATACGGAACTTAGTTGCACAACAGTACTAAATTATGTAGGTGAAGCTGCATTAAAACAATGGATGTATAGGCCACTCCACTTTCTCTCTACAAAACACACACAGCTGTGATTTTAGGTAAGACCAAACTTTTGAGCCTATATATATATATATATATATAGTCTTGTATAGTCTTTGCTTAGTGGACATCCACAAGATTAGTGACTGTTTTGGAATATGCCCTTAAAAACAATAGCATCTGAAACCACCGAACTTTGGGGGCACTTATGTCTGAGACAATTCCAAAGATACTGCATGATAATTTAATATTTAACTACAAAATTTAGATACAACATGATCATAATTATATAGTATTTTTTCATACCTAATTTTTTCCAAAAAAAAAAAACATATAAATTAATTCAAGCTTGATTTTATTTAATGTTGGGCGGCTGGAGCGAGCTGATTTAAAAATTAAATTTTCTTTGCATAATATGTTTTTAAAGATTTGAGATGAGTGACCATGCCAAACCACCTATGTTGAGATCCCATCATATTGTATTTTAATTTATAGAACTTGAAGGCTTTGATGCAACTAAAAATTGAACACTAATGACCTGTTTGGCAACCGTTTATATTGTTCTTCAAAAAAGTAATTCAAAATTTTGAAAATAAGAAAAAAAAAAAAATCACTGATTTTTACTACTGTAACTAAATAATTAAAACAAGATTTTCTAAAATAAAACCTTACATAATATAAATATCATTTTCTTTACAAGAAAAATGATATTAGGATAGAGAATTATGGCCTACCAGATCTGTTTTAAGTGAGACTTGTAATTTAACTTAAATTATATTTAGAGGCATGAAATATTTCCGTTGGTGTTAGGGAGTAAGATAAGGCAATAGTGCATTTTTAAAATAATTTTAGAAGGGGTAAATATAATATTTCTTGGGTATATTACTGAAAATGAACAAATTATAAGAGTAGAATACTAAAAAAAATCCCCCAAGCCAAAACAATCCGTTAGAATATATTCTTTTTTCCATCATCTAAGTATTTATTTATTTTTATTTATTTTAAAATTATCCTTAAACCGACATAAAATATAATATGAATAGTTTAATGAATTTTTATCCTACACAATGAATGAGACACATATCACAGTTCATGAATGAGACACATATCAAAATTTATTCACTACATTAAAATAGCATTGTTAGTCTAGTGAATTTTATCCCACGCTACAAATTTTATTTTTTTAGTGCAGTGAATAAACTCTTATATTAAAAAATGTTATTAATTAATTTTTTATTTCTTTACTGTAAAATATTACCCAACAAATTTAAGACAAAAATATTAACGATTGTTTATATGTAATGAATATCCTAAGTCACATAATTTTGATCACTTTAACATCGTTGTTCTCGAACTCTCAATCTTAAATACGTTTTCATTCTTTCACTTTATGCGACTTAGTAACAACGCACAACTAAAATAATGGCGAGTCCAAACAGCCAAAAAATTAACACATGCGAGTCCCCTGCAGATCTTCCAAAACTTTTCCATGAGCCAACAATTTCCATAAAAAATTTACGTATGCTATGACAAAAGCACTCCTCACGTCCGCATGGTTTTTGTCTTGTTCAGCTAGTGCGTGTATGTGTGTGACTGATCAAGCACTTGATGGTCAAGAAATCTCAATTCTCAACAGGACCAACCATGAAACCCTCAAAAGTCCAATTATTCCCAACGGCCCCTCTAATAAGAACAACAATATGTTTTTAAAGATTTGAGATGAGTGACCATGCCAAACCACCTATGTTGAGATCCCATCATATTGTAAAAATTTAACACTAATGGCTTATTTGGCAATCATTTATGTTGTTTTTCAAAAAAAAAAATTAAAATTTTGAAAATAAGAAAAAAAAAATCACTTATTTTTACTACTGTACCTAAATAATTAAAACAAGAATTTTTTTAAAAAAAACCTTACATAATATATATATCATTTTCTTTATAAGAAAAATGATATTAGGGCCTGGAATTATGGCTTACTTTTCAAGTGAGACTTGTAATTTAACTTAAATTATATTTAAAGGTATGAAATATTTCCGCTGGTGTTAGGGACCAAGCCAGGACATAACGTAAGGGGGTCAATAGTGCATTTTTTTTATTAATTTTAGAAGGGGTAAATGTAATATTTCGTGTGTATATTACTAAAAATGAACAAATTATAAAGGTAGAATACTAAAAAAAGAAAAGTAATACCCAGCCAAAACAATCGTTAGAATATATTCTTTATTCCATAATCTAAGTATTTATTTATTTTTATTTTTTAAAAAAATTATCCTTAAACGGGCATGAAATATAATATGGATACTTAAATGAATTTTTATCCAACAATGAATGAGACACATCAAAGTTAATGAATGAGACACATATCAAAGTTTATTCACTACTTAAAATAGCATTGTTAGTCTAGTGAATTTTATCCCACGCTAGAAATTTTATTTTTTTAGTGCAGTGAATAAACTCTGATATTAAAAAATGTTATTAATTAATTTTATATTTTTTTACTGTTAAATTTTACACTACAAATTTTAGACAAAAATATTAACGTTTATTAACATTTCTTTAAATGTAATAAATGTCCTAAGTCACACTTTTCTTTTTTAGCGAATATAATTTTCACGTTGTACGTTACTCTCACTCTCACAACTTAAATTTGATCACTTTAACACTGTTCTCAAACTCTCGATCTCGAATTGTTCTCATTCTTCCACTACATGCGACTTAGTAACAACGCACAACTAAAATAATGGCGAATCCAAACAGCCATAAAAATAAACGTGCGAGTCCCCTGCAGATCTTCCAAAACTTTTCCATAAACCAAAAATTTCCATAAAAAATTTACGTATGCAATGACAAAAGCACTCCTCACGTCCACATGGTTTTTGTCTTGTTCAGCTAGTGCGTGTATGTGTGTGTGTAAGCGTCGACTGATCAAGCCCTTGATGGCCAAGAAATCTCAATTGTCAACAGGACCAACCATGAAACCCTCAAAAGTTCAATTATTCCCAACAGCCACTCTAAGAACCACTCATTCACCCCCTTGATCATGGAGTGAGAAATGTTGAGCTTAGAAGAATCTCATATACCCTCTATAAATCACCTATTATTGATCACTTGATTTTTATCTATTGTCTCTGTGAAAACGAAGATTAACAACATACAGGTTTTCAGAGATGCCTGGGCATGGCTTGGGAAGTGAGAGATCTCCTCTCTTAAACAGAGAGGTAAGCTTTTCACTTTTCGATGACCCATTAAGGTCTCTTTGTATATGAATTCTCGCAATTCAGTCACTGAGTTCTGTTTTGATTCGTTTTGGTTCTTGGGTTTTTTTATATACATATTCTTGATCCAATTCATAAAATTCTGCTGTTACTTTGGACTTTTGATTGATGGGTTATGTTTAGTTTGTATAATTTATAAAACCCAATTGATTAGGGAATTTTTTTTTTTATTTTATAAAACCCAATTCTTTATTCCCTTGCAAATTTAGTTTTCTGAGATTTATGTTCATGTGGGTGTTTGATGTGTTAAATGGAATTTGTTAGGAGCAGTTTAGATGATTCTCACGAAGTCGAGTAAAACATTATTGGGTCATTCTGAGTGAGACATGATGTTTAGTTTGTATAATTTATATATAACCCAATTATTTATTTCCTTTGCAAATTTAGTTTTCTGAGATTTATGTTCATGTGGGTGTTTGATGTGATAAATTGAATTTCTTAGGAGTAGCCTAAATGGTCATTTGCCTATTTCACTTTTCTGATTTAATCTTTTTTAATTGATTTTTGTGATTTTTCATAGGGGAGAAAGAGAAATGATACCCTGGAAAATGGTCATTTGACAGACCTTGAGCATGGTGATGCAGTACCGGTAATTGCAATTTCTATTAGATGCTTGAAGTTTGACATTAATCTTTACTAACTATTAGATTACGTAATGTCCTAACTCGATTCTTGGGAAATTCAGGCTGCCAATGTGGGGTTCTGTAGAGTTATTTCACTTGTAAGTGGATGCACCTTTGTGTTTATTAATGATCAAAGTGGAATTATATTCTTGAAAAATGTCAGCTTGTTAACATCTCATTGCTTTGCAGGCAAAGCCTGATACTGGAAATTTGATTATAGCTACGTTTGCTCTTCTGATTGCATCCACATCAAGTTTACTGATTGTATGTACTTGTATTGGTGCTCAATTCTCAATTCCACCCGAGCCCCCCTAAACACACACACACATCTCTCTCTCTCTTGTTTTGATTGTGAAGTATAATGATTTTATGTCTAGTTTAGACTTTAGAGACACGGGTGTTTGATTTTTAGTAATTTCAGAAATAACATGTTCATGATGCAGCCAAAATTTGGTGGAAAAATAATTGACATCGTGTCGGGAGATATGCAAACACCTGAACAGAAAGCACAAGCTTGGACTGCAGTGACGAACACCATACTATATATATTTGTGATTGTTATAGTAGGGTATGTCCATTCCTCAATTCTTTTTTTTCTTCTATCAGTATTAGGTTCACTTGATCCTTGATTTCTTGTTTGTCCAGTCTTTTCATCCCATCTAACAATGAAAAGGATTGCATTACAGAACCATTATGATAAACCTCTAAAACTACAAATGATTTTATGATTTTGTCATAATGGTTACTAAAACATTCCGGTGTTAGAGATGAATTGTGACTAAGAAAGTGTTTTTTTCCATTCCAAAATGCGTACTTATTATGGTATCAAGGAGTTAACAATCTCTTGCTTCTTTTCAGTTCTGTTTGCACGGCACTTAGAGCATGGTTATTTTCTTCTGCAAGCGAAAGGGTCGTTGCTCGATTGAGAAAGAACTTGTTTGGTCACCTCCTACACCAAGTACATTCATTTAGCTTTGCAAATGACATGGTTTTATCTGTCTATTACAATCCATTGGTTGCTAAGATATTCATGATTCCCTAGTATTTTTTCTTTTTCTTCTTGCCATATTAATAAAACTAGAATATTTTTCATGTAAAGTTTGTTCACAATGGCTAATAACTTTGCAGGAAATAGCCTTCTATGATGTTACTCGAACTGGGGAACTCCTAAGTAGGCTATCTGAAGACACTCAGATCATAAAAAATGCTGCAACTACCAATCTCTCCGAGGCCCTAAAAAATCTGTCTACTGCATTTATTGGTCTTGGCTTTATGTTTGCGACATCATGGAAGTTAACATGTAAAGGCTTAATCATTTTTAGGTTGAATGTTGATATGATGAAGATTTCAACATGCTCATTATAAATTAATTTTCATCATTTATGTTTAGTGTTGGCTTTGGCTGTGGTTCCGGCCATTTCTGTTGCTGTACGTAAATTTGGTCGCTTTCTTCGAGAACTTTCTCACAAGACTCAAGCTGCAGCTGCAGTAGCTGCCTCGATTGCGGAGGTTTGTCTCTTCTGCTATAACTCTTAGTTTTCTCTATGTTGAATCTCTACATTTAAAGTATTTTTTGTTGTTCACTTCTAAAATCCTGTAGTACTAAGTTAAAGTTAATGACATGATGAAAAGTAGATAAAAGACAAGTGATAACTTGGACTTGAAAGTGATTGGTTAGACGTTTCAAATATTGTTCATGTCCACTCGGTAGCAATGCATAAGAAGTTATAAAGCAAAGTGATTTTGTAGAAATGTCATGTTTGTTTTCTATTGATTTGTAATATTTCTGTTCATGTTGACTGGTTGGGTTTACAACTATTTAATCACTATTCATATATATTGCCTCATGGGAGGTAATTTAGATCTCTATGAGTCGTGAAGAGAAATGAATATGCTGACAACTTGAGCATAAAGGGAAACATTTACTAAGTATGACAAGTAAAAAAATATATGACTATTCTGGAATATATATATATATATATGACTGGTGTTAAAATCATTCTGTTGAATCAAATGATTATCTACCAAAACCAAGAACTTTTTTTCCCTTCTATAAAGTGCTGGTTGCAGTGAGTAAAAGTAAACATAATTTTTTGCTAATCACTTTAAAGTGTTTCTTAGAGAGCCCATACCATGTGCAAAAAGTTTTCATTATCACTCATCGTAATTAGGTTTCTAATTTTTTTTGGGCCAAAATGCGCAAATTTTTTAGGAAACTTTTGGTGCCATACGCACAGTGAGAGCTTTTGCTCAGGAAGAATATGAGATTTCACGCTACTCGGAGAAAGTTGACGAGACATTGATGCTTGGACTTAAACAAGCTGTAGGTTCCTGAATGCATCTCTCTCTCTCTCTATCTTTCACTCTCTCTCTTACACGCACACACACAACTACACATGGACAACAGCTGCAGCTTCTAAACTGTCATTTTCTGCTGCAGAAAGTAGTTGGCCTCTTCTTTGGGGGTGTGAATGCAGCATCAACACTGTCAGTTATCATAGTGGTGATATATGGAGCTAATCTGACGATCGCAGGGACCATGACCCCTGGTGCTCTTACATCATTCATTCTTTATAGCCTCACGGGTAGCTCTCTCATTCTTGTATAAAATTCCATGGAAGCAGTGACACTGTTTAACTTGTGATAGATTCAATATCATGTTTACCTACATGTTTATAAGATGCTATAATTTTTAGCTCAATAAAGTTCCAGTTAACTGAACTTAGTTACTTTTTCCACTTGCAGTTGGATCATCTGTTTCTGGACTGTCTGGATTATATACAGTGGCAATGAAAGCTGCAGGAGCCAGCAGGAGGGTTTTTCAGATTCTTGACCGTGTCTCATCCATGCCAAAATCAGGAAATAAGTGTCCTTTGGGGTTAGTACTGTCAAAGCTTCATCTAGTTACTATACTTTCCTCTTTTCTTAGTTTGCCTACTGTTTCTCCACTCATGGCTTCAATTATAAGAAATTCAACCTCCTTTCCGCTGGAATTCTGGGGATAAAAAAATTAACCTGAAGAGGGTCAAAACCACTTAACTCTGTCCCAATTTCCACCCCTTCTCTCCAGAAACACATGACCTACAGAGGGACCTATTATGACAACAATCGCTTCACTTTTTGAAGTTGACTACCCTTGACATATACTTTAACTTTTTTGCTACGCACACATAAGCAAAAGTAGTCAAATTAAAAATTTGATAATGAATAGATTGTACAAAAACATTGCAAATCCCAATTATTCCAATATGAATGTATGTTATTTTGGCCCCTTCCTGTGCATGGTTGTTCACCTAGTCAAATCCATGTTGTTTTTATTTTTATTTTTTTTATTTTTTATTTTTTATTTTTCTTTTAAGAACTATCCAAAAAAATTTACAGTGTTGTTTTATTACCATAGTTGTCCTACTACCAAATTTTGTATTCAAATCATTCTTGCTACCAAATTTTTTATCATCCCAAATTACTCGTTATCTTTTTGATAGGTAAAAGAAAAGGGAAAGAAAATGAACTTACAAAATAATTGATAAATGTGCTTAAAAGGCCGAATTATGTTTATGTCAACTTCATACTAGATGTGATTGTGGATTGTCTTACTGCAGCGACCAAGATGCTGAAGTGGAGTTAGATGATGTTTGGTTTTCCTACCCTTCACGCCCCAGCCATACGGTACTCAAGGTAATAATTTTGCATCGGCCACTTTTGTTATGATGGATCATCCTATTTGCATTTTAATTATATATTGTGCCGATAAACCTAACAAATTCTGCAAAATTTAGGGAATAACGTTAAAACTGCATCCTGGTTCAAAGGTTGCTTTGGTTGGCCCGAGTGGTGGTGGAAAGGTAATACTACTTTGTTCAATTGTCCTAAATAACTCCAATTGAAATTCATGTTATTTTAGTCTATGAAATAGCTTTGTAGATAGAGGAATAGCCAAGTATCTACTGTGACTCAGGTTTATTTTTGCTATTAATGGTCTTCTTGTTATTCTTTGTTATTGTTTTTTGTGCCACAGACCACAATAGCAAACTTGATTGAAAGGTTCTATGACCCTATCAAGGGAAAGATTATGCTCAATGGGGTTCCTCTAGTAGAAATATCACATGAACATCTACACAAAAAGGTATTGTGGCACTAAATTCTGAATATACATATGTTGGTTTTCAGCGGTGATGCATACAGTTTAGTGTTCTCTTCTTGCTCTGATGTTTCAAAGATTTTTCACGTATAGTATGTTCACCTTTTAATACACAGATCAGTATAGTGAGCCAGGAGCCAACCCTGTTCAACTGTTCGATAGAGGAGAATATTGCCTATGGATTGGATTCCAAAGCAAGCATTACTGATATTGAAAATGCAGCTGTAAGATTTTAGCATCTCCACTTATCAACTAATTGTCTCATCTACCAAAATCCTTTTATTCTCAATAATTTAATTTTGAAAAGTGCAGAAAATGGCTAATGCCGATGAATTCATTTCCAAATTCCCGGACAAATATCAAACATATGTGGGAGAACGTGGCGTAAGGCTTTCAGGCGGTCAGAAACAGAGAGTAGCAATTGCAAGGGCTCTACTGATGAACCCAAGGATTCTTCTCTTAGATGAAGCCACAAGTGCACTGGATGCTGAAAGTGAATACCTAGTTCAGGTCTGCTTTTTACATGCTGAAAATGGGTTTTTTAAAACTCAAAGCTTAGGTCCTGTTTGGTTATGTTTTCTGAAAACATTTCTGTGTAAAAAACTGAAACCAGGCCTCTTTATTTTGTTTTTTTTTTTTTTTTTTTAGTTTAGTTTTCAGAAAACTGCAGCCAAACAACTTTCTGTACGGTTTTCTTATTTTCAATTCTCTTTCAGAAAACTAAACCAAACAGGCCCCTTATTCTTCCTGTTTTCCGAATAAAAATATGTATTTTTTTTTTTTTTTTCACACTGACAGTAGATTTTTCTTATTCTATAGGATGCCATGGATTCACTGATGAAGGGCAGGACTGTTCTAGTCATTGCACACAGGCTTTCCACCGTGAAGAGTGCAGACGTAGTCGCAGTTGTTTCTGATGGTCAGATAGTTGAAAGTGGCACTCACGACGAGCTCCTTAGCAAGAATGGCGTCTATACTGCATTGGTGAGGAGGCAGTTACAAGGACACAAAACAGAAAGCTAGTTTTGTCCTGCTAGTTTTGTAAATGGAATCCATTCCAATGATGAAATTGGTATGTTGTCACTTTATTCTGCATTGACACGAACTTATCCATTCTCAAGTCCAAATGTGAAAAAGAAATTCTATCTCCATCAACCCCTTAAAGCCATGAATTCAACCTTGTCGATCTGCATTACATGAATTATAGATCATCCAAAGCATGGATAGCATGTTAGCCATCTAACTTATTCTGGCAATTTGATGAACAAGATTTAGAATCGCTAGGAGCCTAGGAGTACAACTTCAGTAGGCCAACCTGAATCCAATCCGAGTTGGACCTTGTCTTGGATGGGATTGGGCAGCTTTTTTTGTTGTTCGGTTTGGGTTGAAAAATTTCGGACTCAACCTCAATTTTGGTTGGGTTTCACCTGTCAGGTAACCGGAGTCCAACTCATTCACCATCTGCAGTATATAAATATCTCAAGTGCGAAGAAAAATACCCCTACTGTGTTTAACTGAATTGTATACTAAATGAATAAATAATTGAAGGAAACTCCATAAGAACAAAGTTATGCTACTTCATCTCTAGCATTTCCTTGTAATATATATAGTTCAAACAGTATATATAGTTAGTAGCTCATGGTCACACCTCACGTGCACCCGTAAGTCAAGTTGGCTAACTCTTGCAGGACCCAACCCCACAACTTCAACATACAACTTGAGTTAGCCGTGCCCCAATCCATGTGTAGTCCACTTCCCCTTTTCACCATGTAGTTTGATTGGTGATCACAGCTCAAGAAAGATGATGTATCTGTGTGTAAGTAGACCTCGCACAGACCGAAGTCACCTACTGTTGCCCCAATGGGACATTGAGAGGTAAGAGGGAAGTACTAATTGGGTAAGTAAGATTCTAAGATTGCATCCTATCATACTATCCTACGTTTCTCCTGTGTGTAGAGGAAACTTTGCCCCTCCATGTAGAGGTTCGTTCATCGGAGGTTTGGAGATTTCTCCATGGTGGTATGTCTTTCTCTGGGATGGATTCCTTCCAATCTATAGTTGCTGGTGCTTATGGGGCGTCAAACACAAGCGACGTGTGTGCGGTGATGGTGGTACCCAATGGGTTTTTGGGAGTTGGAAGTATTTCTACTGAAGAACAGAAGATCTATACTTTTGATCAGGGCATTCATGCAGCTTGCTCTATTAGTCTTCTAGTTTTTACTTTTATCTGTTTCCTTTTTGCCTCCTGGTTTCTTTGCTGGTGCTTCTCTCCGTTTTTAGCTACTCCATTTCATCCATGGATGGGCCTTATAGCAGGAACTGTCCAACGATGGATTCCATGGCAATGGCGGACGGAGCAGGCTATGGTGCGTGGCTATCAAACCAAGAAAATACCGCTAAGGATGTGTATAAGACTTTTCAGTGGTATCTTCTTTGATAGTCCAGTTCGAAAATGATTCGAAGGATCCAACCGCAAGTGAGTCGCCGGAGCGCTCACTTCTACCTACGTTTCGGTCGCCGGAGAAAAAGCGACCTCCTCGAGCCCAATGCCAACTGTTTGCCCGTCCGACGGCACTTCAAAAGTTACGTAAATTCAGGTGTCTCTAAATGCTACATAGGGGAGGTGGACCCTAGGGTTATGTTATGATGGTGAGGTTTTAGAGTGGCACGGCCCACTAAGGGATAAGCAGGAGGTAGTTATACTGGTGGATTTGGGCTTTGTTTCTAGCCCTACCCCACTTCCTGGTGAAGGCAGTGGGTTGAAGACGTTTGACGGCCGAACATGGGATTTAATATTAACAGGTGTGACCCAATCCTCACCTCTCTCTACGAAGGCTGTGTGTGTTGGTAAAGCTTTGGATTGTGTGTCATATGTTTTGTTTGATGCGCTTTGGATTGATCTCCATGCCAGCGTCTTTGATCTCATGTGGAGACTTAGGAGATTTTCTCGGTTCAAGGTAGTCATGTTTGGAGACATGGTGTTTGTAGCGTCTCTGTGTACACCTCTCATGGTTGCTTTGTGTTTTAAATGTTGTTTGTATGTTCTAATCCCGGTGATCGCACCAAATTGACCTTTGTGTTGTTGTGCAGTGTTGTTTGTTCGCCAGAGAAAAAAAAAAAAAAAAAAACAGTATAGTTAGTAACTCTAAAATTCTCATTCTTGATCTATATTAGACAGCTAATAATTATATATTCGACTAGGCATGACTAACTTCATCCACGAGATTTAATAGATTGCATAAGGGCGTTTTTGTTTTTTAGATTGGATAAGTTAGCCGTAGTCTAGCCCGAAATTGGTTTGGGCTGTGGACGCTCTAAGTATTAATTATTGTGAAAACTGAAAAATAGATGAAGACTTGAGCTGCTTTATTATTATTATTATTATTATTATTATGGTTATTAATTTGACTAACATCTCTTTTTAGCCTAATGTTATATTAAAACACCTTTCAAAAAGTTACAGAACCTACGAGAATCTCTGAACCAGTGAGTCCTATCAAAATCTTACACTCCTTTTCGTTAAGAGTAATGATACTTACACCGATTTGTTGTACCAAATTGCTACACCGAATGTTTCTGATTAGTTATTTATAAGTACATATAAGTGGAAGATCCTACTTCTTTATTTAGTTGTAATGAATTGTCAAACTTAGTTATTTTAATTGGTCTATTTATGCATAAATAAAAAAGTGGGGTCCTCTACTTACATGTAATATGCATAAATAACTAATTAGAAACATTCGGTGTAATAATTTGGTATAACAAATAGGTGTAAGTATCACTGCTCTTTGGTTAATGTCTTTAATTTTAGGTTAGGATTAATTACACAATGCAGGTCAGTGAACCTCGACGAGTCTATAGGTCCTTTGGGCAACTGCTTGGGAAGGATGATAATAGTGTTAATGATAGTACTGGGGTGGAACATGATTCAGTGGTGTATGTTATACTACTAGTGCAGGAACAGGGACACCGACTGTATGGTCAATTGCCTAAACCAGAAGATGTTCAACTTTCGAATTCCTTTACAATATGTTACAAATAAGAAATTCTCTCTATGGAGGACAATGAAGGTGTGGAAGGTACCGCAGTGCTGGATGCAAAATCCATGGTTGGGTGTGGTGTTCAAGTGATTGATAGCAATTCTTTGTTAGCCTTTTTGGTTATTGTAATAAAGCAACACGTGAAGGAGAAAATATACGTGAAAGAAAAATCATGTAGATTATTTTAATTTGGGATTATAATCACTTTCTTTAAATAGATGGAGAATGTAATCATTTGAATGATATAGAACAACCATTATTCAAACTCTAATAACCTAATCCTATCAACTATTTTATTTTAATTTTAAAACCCTATCTGACAAGATAATATTGGCGTGATATAAGTGAAGTTAAATTTGAATTAACATCTAACACTCCCCTTAATTCAAAATTTCAAACTTTTCAAACAAATTTTAGGGTCTTCAAATTTCTTCCACGATCACAGTTTCTTTTGAATCTTCTGTCAGCATTGTCGTTTCTTCCCTGCTTTGTTTTGTTTGAAATTTCAGTCTTTCCAGGATTGTCTTCTACTAGTTTCTTCTTTGTCTTTTGAATTCCCGAAGCTTTTTCTGGAGTTGTTTTTGCAGTGCATGCAATTGCTTCTTTCTTCTTCTCATCATCCTGAGCTTAGAAAAATCAAGAGGATAAATATTGTTTTCAGACATTTTTGAAAACAATATTAATTTTTTATATGCTTTGTTGTACAACATGCATCTGTCATCTTCAAACACAATTGAACAACCTTTCTTGAGTAGCTGTCCTAAACTGATCAAATTTTGAGCCAAACCTGGAACGTACAAAACCTCATCAATTAATTTTTTTTTTTTTACCAATATTTGTATTCACCGCACTGGTTCCTTTGCCTTGAACCTGCACCCTTTTGTCGTCCCCATACGCACCTGAGACTTTACAGATTCATCAAGTTTAACAAAAATAGATTTATTTCCGGTCATATAGTTACTACAACAACTATAAAGATACCACATATTTTTTTGCAGTGGCATTAAGGCAAGATATGAATTGATGTTCATCCTTAGCATTTTCATCTTCAACTTTTTCTTCATCAACTCTTTACTCGTGAAAGTTGGCTTGATTTTTAGGACTATACCAACAATTTTTTTCATTATGTCCATATTTTTCACAAAAGAAACACCGAGGGAAATAGTATTCTTATTTTTGTACCAATAGTCATGTTCAATATGACCCTTCTTCATACAATGATAACAAATAGGAATTTCACCATTACCTTTATTGAATTATCTCCCTTGTCCATTAAATTGATTTCCTCTTTTGCCTTGAAATCCATAGGTTTTCCCTTTTCCATTTGAGCTTCTTTTAAACTCCAATTTTGATTGGAAAGCCTGCTCCACTTGACTTTTGGTAGGCCTGTTCAGTCTTTCTTCATGCATTTTTAGTAATCCCATCAATTGAGTAAAAGACAATTTTTATATATATATATATATATATATATATATATATATATATATATATATATATATATTTCATAATTGGTGTTGTATTGATGCTCAAAATATAAAAATGAATATAGGAGCATAGAAGGCATACCCTTAGAGATCTGAAAAAGAAAAAATAGAGGACAATGTGCTTATTGAAAAAGCCCATTTCCAATACAAAAACAAAAAACCAACCCAGTAATTATGGAATAACATCATTAAATCTTTTGACTCCTTAATTGCAACTACAACATTATTGAATTTAGGAGTTGGACTTTTCAAGACTTTTTCAATGATTTTTTTATCATTCAAATTTTCACCAAGAGATTTTGCTTGATTAACAATAGAAGTGATTCTACTTAGGTAAGCATGAATTTACTCGAAACTTTTCATCATCAAAGTTTCAAACTCAAGACGGAGAGTCTGTAACCTTAAAGTAATTACCTGACTCGATCCTTCATACTTATTCTGAAGCAACTCCCATGCTTCCTTGGAAGTTTTGGCTCCCATTATTCTTGAAAAAATAATGTCGTCTAAATTTTGTTGAATATAGGACAAAGCCTTGGCATCTTTCTTCTTGTTTTCTTTAATGCTGTTCTTTGTGCAACAGTTTCTCTCTCTTCCTGATTATCATTTTCTGCATAATTACTCTCAA